ATACACATATATATACATACATATATACACATATATATACATACATAAATACACATATATATACATACATAAATACACATATATATACATACATATATACACATATATATACACACACACACATACGTATATACACATACATATACAGTGAGGAAAATAAGTATTTGAACACCCTGCGACTTTGCAAGTTCTCCCACTTAGAAATCATGGAGGGGTCTGAAATTTTCATCTTAGGTGCTTGTCCACTGTGAGAGACATAATCTAAAAGAAAAATTCGGAAATCACAATGTATGATTTTTAAATAATTTTTGTGTGTTACTGCTGCAAATAAGTATTTGAACACCTGTCAATCAGCAACAGTTCTGGCCCTCAAAGACCTGATAGTCCACCTCTATAACGTCCACCTCCACTCCACTTATTATTCTAAATTAGAAGCAGCTGTTTGAGGTCGTCAGCTGCATAAAGACACCTGTCCACCCCACACAATCAGTAAGACTCCAACTACTAACATGGCTAAGATCAAAGAGCTGTCCAAAGACACCAGAGACTAAATTGTAGACCTCCACAAGGCTGGAAAGGACTACGAGGCAATTGCCAAGCAGCTTGGTGAAAAAAGATCAACTGTTGGAGCAACTATTAGAAAATGGAAGAAGCTAAACATGACTGTCAATCTCCCTCGGACTGGGGCTCCATGGAAGATCTCACCTGGTGGCGTATCAATGATCCTAAGAAAGGTGAGGAATCAGCCCAGAACTACACGGAGGAGCTGGTCCATGACCTGAAGAGAGCTGGCACCACTGTTTCCATGGTTACTGTGGGTAATACACTAAGACGTCATAGTTTAAAATCATGCGTGGCACAGAAGGTTCCCCTGATTAAATCAGCACACGTCCAGGCCCGTCTTATGTTTGTCCATGACCATCTGGATGATCCAGAGGAGTCATGGGAGAAAGTTCTGTGGTCAGATGAGACCAAAATAGAAATTTTTGGTCTTAATTCCACTCGTCGTGTTTGGAGGACGAAGAATGATGAGTACCATCCCAAAAACACCATCCCTACTGTGAAGCACGGGGGTGGAAGCATCATGCTTTGGGTGTTTTTCTGCACATGGGACAGGACGACTGCACTGTATTAAGGAGAGGATGACCGGGGCCGTGTATTGAGAGATTTTGGGGAACAACCTCCTCCCCTCAGTGAGAACATTGAAGATGAGTCGTGGCTGGCTCTTCCAACATGACAATGACCTGAAGCACACAGCCAGGAGAACCAAGGAGTGGCTTCGTAAGAACATATCAAGGTTCTGGAGTGGCCTAGCCAGTCTCCAGACCTAAACCCTATAGAAAATCTTTGGAGGGAGCTCAAACTCTGTTTCTCAGTGACAGCCCAGAAACTTGCTGATCTAGAGAAGATCTGTGGAGGAATGGACCAAACTCTCTGCTGCAGTGAACCTGGTGAAGAACTACAGGAAACCTTTGACCTCTGTAACTGCAAACAAAGATACTGTACCAAACATTAACATTGATGTTCACAGGTGTTCAAATACTTATTTGCAGCAGTAACACACAAATAAATTATTTAAAAATCATACATTGTGATTTCTGGGTTTCTTTTTTTTAGATTATGCCTCTCACAGTGGACATGCACCCGAGATGAAAGATTCAGACCCTCCATGATTGCAAAGTGGGAGAACTTGCGAAGTCGCAGAGTGTTCAAATACTTATTTTCCTCACTGTACGTATATACACATACATATACGTATATGTATACATATATATACGTATATGTATACAAATATATACGTATATGTATACATATATATACGTATATGTATACATATATATACGTATATGTATACA